TTCATTGCCATGTCATTTCACTAATCATACAAATGTATCACTCTTCCTACAAGCGAAAGCTCGACGAAATTATACAGGTACGACACAAAGATAAGGTTTGATAACAGCATAGTTGTCAAAGTTTCACAGGTTTTGGTAACAAGTAAGAAAACAAGATTTTTAAGTACTTTTTTTTTCCGAAAATGAGTCATTACCATTTAACATAAAAAAAGTATCAAACAGATCCCGATATAAATTTGTTGCGCAGAAAAAGACCTTCGCTATTTGCCCCAAATTTAGAAAACAAGAAATTATCTGAAATTTTTACCCTAAAATTTCGGCCGAGATACTACATCTGATCAGACAATAATTTATGTTGTTAATATAGATTATGTAAAAAAAATAATTTTTGGTCAGAGGCCTCTTTCTCTTGGAGTTGTTTTCCCGATTGCTTTGAAATACGCCAAATTGCAAAATGAATTTTTTATTTATTGAAAAAATGAGAATATCACAAGACTATTTTTTTAATTGGTTTATTGTGTTTGAGCCCTATATCTTTCATTATTTAAATAAATAAAAATACATTACATGTAGCACTAAAATAAAAAATAATACTTATAAATATTTGATTTTTCAACTTCTCTTCAAACTTCTCCTCGAACTTCTCCTCGAACTTCTCTTTAGCTTCTTTTTGGATAAATAATCATATATGGGCGATCACATAAAGATTATATATAAAAAAGTCATGGGTAGTAAAAAACATAAAAAAAATAGTATTAAAAAAATTAAAGAATTGGAATCAGTTGAAAATAATAATACAGGGAAAAAGAACTCCCTTACTAAAACAATATTGGCTAAACTAGGAATATTATCTCAAAATTCTGCCGCTGCCGAAAACACACCTCCAAATAAAATTCCAGAAGAAAATAATTTCGACACTCTTGCAAAACAAAACCAAGATCAAATGAGGAGTGCTGCTTCTGCCACAAAAATTGCAAATGCTTGGCGTTCTCATAGGTAACAACATCATTTCACTTTTGTATAAATATACGATATGTAAAATACAATACTAATTTTTTAAAATTATAGGAAATTGCGAGAACAGAAAGGAAAGATAGTGTCTGCAAAATCCAGAAGCATTTTACAACAAGAAAATAGAACATGCTTACACTTACCTGGTATAGAAGGTAAAACCGAGACATGTCCAGTATGGAATCAGTGGTTAGAATTTCTTGATGAATTGGAGATGACACGTCTTAGAGAATCATCATCAAACGAACCATTAAGTAATATTCAAAAATTTGGACATGCAGCTGGGCGTATTGGAAGGGTATTTCTACATTTCTATATTTTGATGTTTATTATTATTATTATTATTATTATTATTATATGATTTTGATCTGATGATTGATTTTACATTAAATAAAAAAAATTTTTTTCATTCATTTCGAAATAATTAAGGGATCAAATTCAGTTAAAGATCATCTCTGGTTAATTTTGGATACAGAGCATTGGTTAGAACTTTATGATATTAAACATAGATATGGTGCAAATTTAAAGGTAAACGTTAAAATTTAAAAGATAATGAATTTGCATGTATGATTACTATAATTTTATTAATATTTACAAAATATAAAATTTCACAGATTTACCATGATTATTGGCTAAAATCCACTACTCCAGAGAATTTTTTTGATTGGTTGGATAAGGGGGAAGGAAAGGATTTAGATCTCAAAGAAAGACCACGTGAAAAACTTGAACGTCAAAAGGTGAAATATCTTGGTAAAAAAGAAAGAGAAGATTACGAGGTGACATTTAAAGATGGGTTATTAATTTATCGGAAAAGTTGTGAGCCAGTACACACAAACCCCCCTGAAAATTTCACTCCATTCAGATCATCATCACCTACATTGTCCACTAACCCCCAAGCACAAGATCTACTAGCAACAACACAAACAGCGGATAACAATCAAACGTCGACGACATTATTACTACATCCAAATCACTCACGAGCACCATCACCTGTACCTAGTTCTCAAGGAAGCTTCTTGGATGATGAAGATGGAGTACCCGAGAAATGGATATATGTAACTGATTGTACAGGAAAGTTTTATGTTGGTAAAAAAACCAAAGGTGATTTTCACCACTCATCTTTCCTGGCGGGTGGGGCTATAGGTGCAGCAGGAGGAATCAAGGTCAGAAACGGGAAGCTTCTTGAGATCAATCCTAAAAGTGGCCATTACAAGCCTTCACAAAAACATTTCGAAGCTTTAGTTGAACGATTAAGAACCGAAGGTATTGATGTTGACAGTGATGACGTGAGAGTTGTTTGTCCAAATGATATATTGGAGAGACACTTGATGAATAAATTTCAGTCGAAAAGAGCTGTACTATACGAAAATCTAGTAAAAACCTCGGAAGAAATACTCGCTCAACAAAAACAAGCACAGAAACGACAAAAACAAGAGTAGTAACAATAGCGAGGAATTGTTGAAGATGGTAAAAATAATATTGAAAAAAAAATATTTATTAACATCAAATAATTTAATTATTTAATATTTATTTATCTATTATATTATATTTATTTATCTATTAATTTATTTACTATATATCCATAAATTTATTTTTTTCTTTTTTTTTTCTTTTTTTTCTTTGGATTTTTTTTTTGATTTTCTGATTTATTATATCATCATATATCATCATCATCATCAGATTTTTATTATTATCCATCATTAGATAGACACATCTTTTTCAATTTTTTTTCTTTAATTTTTTTGATATTGTTAATTAAAATAAACATAGTCAATATATATAATAATAATTAATAATTAATAATGAACTACACACGTGAAGATTATAATATATTCAATGACCATCCACTCCCAAATAAGACCCGCCATAGTTGTTGGCCTTTAGCACTTTTTTTTAAAAAAAAAAAAAATGCTGTAGCGAAACGTTTTGGCAATAATAAATTTCGGAACACATTAATAATGTTATTCTGTCACTTTTTATTATTTAAGCGAGAGAAGTTTTTATGATTGCTCAAAGGATCGATCGTGGAACAGAAAATAAAAATCGGATCGATGAGTCATCCAGATTTAATGATTTCGATAATAAATAAAGAATCAATATACGTGGTGAGATGATCAATAAAATGGCTTACTTTTTTTGGATAAGACTTAATTGGCCAAGGAAGGATCCTGAAATTAATTGGATCGCTTCATTTTAATAGATGCGGTGGTTTATAGAAATGACGACTACAAAAAAAAAAAAATTAAAAATAAATCAATGATGGAATTAATCTATTTATAAATTAAAACATTAATTTAACCTTTTTTTTTGTTTTACCATAATTGGAAATAATAATAATAATAAAAAATAATATAATAAATACTATAATGACCAAAGATCATTTACAAATATGGAAGTTTCCCAGTCGTACTGTTTCGCCACGAGGATGTTTCCGGATTAGTATTTAATAATTAATATTATAGTGATGGTTGATTAGGTTGATTAATTACCCTTTCAAAGTCATATGATGACGTTGATAAATCGAGGAATGATTTTCAAGCGCAAGAACTCTCGTGCAACAAGTAACAAATTCAGATTACGTAATTTTCGAGATAAAAAAAAAAAAAGACGGCCAGATTTGGTGTGCCAAACATTTAAATCATTTTAGTTCTCAATGCCATACCATTAATTTTTTCCAATGCACTTTATACATTGTTTAATTTATGATAGATATACATTGTTTTTAACTGATGATCTGCGTTGCTTTTAATTTATATTATTTATGGTGCGTAAATAAATTAAAAATGAAAAAAAAATATTTTTTTTTTTTAAAAAAAATTAAATCCAGGTAATTGAATATGCCCAAAATTCCTTAACGAGAGCGAATAAATCCTGGAGTCTCATTCAATTCATACTGTTATTGAAAGTAGCACACATTATCAAAATTTAGTTCAAAATTTAATCATACCTATGATCAATTGAATAATAAAATATCCTTCCTTCCTTACCAATGAATTTGAAAAAAAAATTTTATAATAATAATTTCTAAAATGTGATAATCTCTTGTGTAGGTGGTAACGTTTTAGGAGAATGTAAATATTCCATTTTTTTTAATTATGATATAAAAAAGAAAAGACACTTGATGCGCATCAAAAAAAAATAAAAATAAAAATAAAAAATAATGACACGGCATTGAAAATTAATAATAATAATAACAACAACAATAATGATAATGATGATTTGAATTGTTTTTGTTTGTCTTGTCATATTTATTTAGCAAATTTAAATAGTCTTTCATTCCCCCGAATTGCGAATTAAATAAAAAAAAAGAATACATTTTATCATTACAAACCTTTTTAAAAGATAATGGCTTGCATGATTGGAATAATTATGCTATGCTAATAGTTTGGAGAAAAAAAATCCAATTCTGCCTCGATTGTTATATCTAATTAAAAGATATTCACCACATAACTTTATTTAGATATGTGTAACATTAGAAGAATAATTCGTATATACAAATAAGTGTCAATAATCCCACAAACAACGGTGATTAGATCTTATAAACAGGTTTTTTTCACACACACATGAAGATCATATCACTACAGACATGCCATTGTCCTGCTACAGCGTTAAATAACATCAACTTTTAAAACATGAACTTTGAATTGAAGATTGGTTTGGTAAATGAGCAGAAGAAATAATAATAATAATAATGTAACTGAAAACAAAAGTCATTTACCAAAATAACAAGCGTTTCCATCTTCAAAATCAGGAGATTTTATATATTATTGTCATGTATTTGGCATTTTTGGATTGAAACAGTTTTTGATCTTCAAAATTACTAGTGATAAATGGTTACACGTGACATTAATTATATTTCAAACGCTTAAAAATTCCCCCGTGTAAATAAAATAAAATAAAATAAATAAATAAATTAATTAATTAATAAATTAATTAATTAATCTATTCATAGAAATCAAACCACGAATTCAAATTTTAAGTTTGAGAAAATGTCTGATCGTGAGTTTAACTTTATATCATTGTTAATTTACCGGCAAGAAATATCGATTGAATATTCTTTTCAAAAAAAAACCCCCATATTTATTGAAATATTAGTTTCATATGCCACATACCCACCAGCAAATATGCGTCATCATTCGCTCCAAAGATACTAAAAAGGATATTGCATCAGACATATATTTGATCGACCGATCGATGGTGAAGTCTGCAGTTCCATCCATTCATTTATTCACGGGGGTGAATGAATGACTACGTTTGTGAAAAAATAAAAAATAAATTTTTTCAATTAAAAAAGCGAGACGAGCTTCGACAGTAAAGTTGGATAGATCAATCATTAAACAACTTAATTCATCAACTTTTATCTTAGCTAAATTTTACAATCCATTGAAATCGATCCATTCAGGAATTGGTTCCTCATAGAAACTAATTTCTTTGATTTAGATATTAATAATATGAATGGAATGGACTCTTTAACATCTGACACTCATCCTTTATAGATAATTTATAACTTGCATGTGAAAACGAATTTTTTGTTAAAATAATGATTTTCTGATATTTATATATATACAAAGTATATAAAGCAAGAGAATTCCCGTCTCTGAAAAAAAAAATTTTTACCTTACTACAATAAAATATAGAAATATTGAAAACAACCTTCTTTATTTAAATAATCCCTTTCACGAAGTCTCGCTAATTGCAAGCAAGGAATAAAAGTTTTTTTTTTCTTGCGCATACACTCTTCTTCCTACTTTTCCTTTTCCCGTCATTCCTAATATCAAAAAAAAGAATTTTTAAATAATAAAAAAATGTTGATGAAAAATTTTTTTGTTATTTTCGCTTTACTCCTTCTTGCTCTAGCAGACCTAGGTTCCTCAGCACCACAAAAAAGAGGCCCAGCATCACCAGCATTAGAACCATTTGATATCGCCACAGTAGCAGCCGGTGTGAATGCAAAAGACCCTTTTGCTGGTCTTTCAAAAGATTGTCAAGCTGCACTCAACAAAATTATCCAATCAAACCTTATGACTTGTTTACCAATGGATGCAATAATTAAATTAATGGGACAACCAGCTTTACTTGCCGAACTTCAAAAAGATCCACTTCATGCTCTTCCCAAACTTAAACCAACCTTTGATGATGCCTGCTCAGTAACGAAATGCAAAGATGCTGATGTTCAAAATGCTGCAGCAACAGTATTAGGTGGATGTGCAACTGACTTGGCTGCCAAAGTACCAATTGCCGAGCTTATATTCGCAGGGCTTGTTATTTACACACCAGCAATAGATATTATTTGCTTCAAAGATCATGCAGCCGATTATTGCCTCTTCGAAACAGATGCCATTCTCCTCTCATTACCACCACCGCCACCAGGACTCGTAATCCCAGGTTTAGAGAAAGCTCCTCCTCTTCTTGCATCAGTTGCGATTACAGCACCAAGTAATGTATGCACACCATGTAACAAGGCTATTATCAACACTTTCTTTGATTACTACAAAAAGACACCAATATTTGAGCAAGTATTGGCATCTATTGGTTATGATGACAAGAAAAATGGTTTTGTTAATCTTGCAGTTGATGTGAAATGTGGACTTATTCCATTCAATGGTAAATATATGACATTTTGCATATCTTTTATGTCTTTATAATAATAAGCGTATGTAAATAATAATAAATATCAATTGTCTTTGTTTTTTAATTATTCTAGATGGCAACGTAGGTGATCCATCAAAAGGTCCAGATCCACCAATCCCTCATTAATTTATTAATTTATTCGTATATTTATTATTATAATTTTGATCTAAAAACTTTAAAAATAAATTAAAATATGTATACTGTTACACCTACAATTATTATAAATAAAAAGAAATATTCTTAAAATACATTTTATATTATAACCCATTCATCCGCCCATTCATCCATTCATCCATTCATCCATTCATCCATTCATCCATCCATTCATTCACATTAATTTGTTATGAAAGAGTGAATGAAACAAATATAAATAAATAAAATGGAAAAAAAAAACTGACCATTATTTAATAAAAAAATTATTAATAAACTTTGATTTCGTAATCTTATTAAATTATACATTTATTATATAATAAATATCATAATTACATAAAAAAAATTTTTATAATAAAGGCCACGAGGACATTTCAACAACAATAGTAAATAATACGTAATAATAATAGATAACTTTAAATAGCCGTAAAAATATGTAACTGAAAAATCTATTAAATATTAAATAATTTTAAATATTTGAAGATCTTGACATTCATTATTATTATATTGAGGGGAGGGGTAAACGTGTGCGAGCGAGTGAGTGAGTGAGTGAGTGGGAAGAATAAAAAAATTTTATTATATTAATTAAAAAATTAATTTCCAACTAATATATTAAGCAAAGATGGATTGTTTGTTTGTGTGTATATTGAAAGGAGAAAAATAAAGTATTATAATTTTTTTTTTGTACAAATGTCGTGTAACTAATCATGGCTTATTTTTCTTTTATATTATAATTAATATAAATAAATAATACTATAACGATAATAATCAAAAGTATGAATGATTTTTTTTGACTATTAATATGATTAATTATATATATAGAAAAATAACTTTTTGTTTTTTGTGTAATAATTGATTTTTTTAATAAAAAGGCCATGTTTGAATCATCACATCCCTCTCTTCCTCACCAACGCACTTAGGTTTTTAAATTATTTTTTCTTCTCTCTCTCTCTCTCTCTTCTCTACTTTCATTTCTCTCTTCTCTCATTTTATTTTCTTTCTTTACTTTCACTCTTTATTCTCTCAGTAAAATATATTATACCATATATTATATATATTTTATATGTTATATTGTATATATATATATATATATATATATATATATATTTAATATTATTTTTTAATATTAATTTCACCACCAAAGTGCGTATAGTGTGCGAATTTCTCGTACAAAAAAAAAAAAGAAATAAAAAATCAATCAAAATTTTTTTTTTATAAATTTACAAAAAACACATTCTTTCTAACCAACTCCAAAAGTCCTACCTATTTTTATTTTTTTTTAATAAAACAATTTAATTTAAAAAATTTAGGACATTATCAATCTTTTATTTTTTTCCTTTTAAAAATTTTTTACTTTGATTACCCTTTCTTTCTCTCTCTTCTTTCTCTCTCCTACACGCATCCCACATACGACATACACTCACTCACCCACACATATTTCATTTTTTTTTTTTTTTTGATCAACGTTTAATGAAAATTATTAAGTTAAATAAATAAAAAAAAAACAGGTAATTTTATTTTTATTATTAGTATATATATATATATGTGTGTACAATATATAATAAATGTTATTTTACTTGATATGACTAGCTAAAAATGTACGAAGAAAACAACAGTTCTCCTGTCACTTTGTTAACTCAAGCTTTTCATTTACCGTCTCAATTCAATACTCTAACTACTTCCTCATCAACCACAACCTCCAACACCGCCAACACAACTTCTGCGCCAACAATCACAGCCAACAACACGTCAATATCTATATCACCACCATCACCATCAACTGATACTAACATTCCTACTTATTACGATCAAAACAATTACGAAGATCACATTCTTCATAATCCTTGTTTTAACATGACTACTACTCCAACTATACATGTGCCACCACCAGCAGCAACATCAAATACAACATTTGATGGTAATGACTTATTTATCGGTGGTAGTAACAATGGCAACAATAATAACGTTAGAAATATTAATGAAGTAATAGGAGGAGATATGGGAATAGATATGGGAATTGGCATGAGTATGGATATGATCGAAAGCGGAGAAGGAGTGGTAGTTAGAGGAAATGACGATGGTATTGTTGATTGGTCAAATAATAATGACTTATTTGCTCTGCCGCAAAATTTTGTTGATAAAGATCCTGCTGCCAATTGGTTAATCTCTCAAACAACAAACAATAGTAATGACAATGGTAATACGTCTAACGGCGTAATAAATAATAATATTAATAATAATAATAATAACCATCATCATCATCATGTTATCGAAAATGATCAAACCTTTTTGACTACCCGTAATCGAAGTTTGTCAACTAACGACATTCATACTTTGTTAAAATTACAACAATTAAATCATGCTCGTACTCAACTTCACTATAATGAAAATAATGATAATGACAATAATAATGACCCTAATAATGATTTGATAAATGCACACCAATTTCAACAATATCTTCAACAGCAATTACAACAATTACACAATCAGCAACAAAACAATGAAATTATTAGCAATGATCAAAATAACCTCGTATTCAATCCGCATTTTAATAATCAGCATATTAATAGTCAACAACAATTCAACCCTCATAACCAATTCATTCATAATAATAATAATAATCATAATCATAATCATAATCATATAAATGATAACCAACAATTCAATCAACATAATCATCTCAACAACAACAACAACAACAACAACAGCAACAACAGCAACAACAACAGCAACAACAACAACAACAACAACAACAATAATGACAACAACGACAACATTAATCATCATCACATTCATCAGCATAATCATCATAATCATCATAATCATCATAATCATCATAATCATCATAATCATCACAAGCATTCTCAATTAACCACCAGGAGTTCTGCTCCAAATTTACATGTCATAAATCATACTCAAAAAATTAACGGGTTCCAATCCAGATTCAAGCTCAATCCCGACAAAAAAACTCAAAGAAGTATGCCTAATATGCAATTATGTGCTCAAGCTCATTCAAACAAAGCCAATAACAATATTAATATTAATAACAGTATTAATAATGGTAATTGTAATGATAATTATTTTATAGATTAGACAATTGTGATAAATATTAAATACTAATTTCTCTTTTTTTTTTTTAATAGAAAATGATTTAGTGAATGTTCATTCTTCAACATCACCACCACCGCCACCACCACCACCAACACCATCAAATAATAATACATCTCAGTCTCAATCGTCATCTTCGTTCTTGAAACCACCACGTAGAGGTCATACACGTAAAAGATCATTATCTGCTCCTATTACACCATCTCCATCACATCAAAGTTCAAACAATGATCATCAATCAACAATCAAAAACTCTTTTTCCTCGACTGCATCCACCCCTACCTCTACCACGCCATTAAATCAACATTTTCCAATTAAATTTTCTTTGGTTGGTTTGTCATCACCATCATCGCCATTATCATTATCATCTAGACGATCAAACGCCTTACCAATTCAGATCCAACGAAATCCAAAGCATTCACAAGCTAGTCCTCCAATGTCGTCCGAAGAATATCAACGTAAATTGAATGAAGAACTGGAAAAGGTTGATTTTGAAGATATCACTGTCAGTGAGCTCAAAGAAATGTTGAGGCAACGTGGTAAACCTGCAACTGGTAAAAAAGCTGTTCTTATGCAAAGGCTTCAAGAAGAAATTGAATTGGTCAAAGCAATGAAAAATAATAAAAATGGTAATGGTGGTAATGATAATAACGATGCTGATGATGACAATGTTAACAACAACAATAACAATAACAATAATGGCAATAATAGTAATCTGCAATATCAACAAATGATTACTTCACCAACAACATCATCTAGTGGTTCATCATTACAAAGATGTATTGCAAACTTACATATATCAAGTCCTCCGACACATTCTAGAAGATTTAGCCCTTATGGTGGTGTTCCAAGTAGTCCAAGAATTATTCCCAACGGAATGAATAATATTTTTTGTAGACCAACTTCCACCAATAATAATGGTTTTAATAACGATGATTGGCAATTTACTAATATGAAGTTGATGCAAAACCACGATCCCAATAACAATCATGAAAATAACATCAATTGCGGTAATAATAATAATGATCATAATATTACGATTCATCATAATATTTCTCATCAGGATCTTTTTCTACAACAACAACAACAACAGCCATCATCTGCTCCTGCTACCATCACCGAATTTGATTATGCTGCAGTTTCTTCATCATCATTATCATCATCATCGTCGTCATCATCATCTAGAACTAACACAACAACGTCTTCACCAATTGTTAATAAAAATGAAGACTTTATTATTAATCCATTTATGCTTCAACAGCAGCAGCAATTACATCAATTACATCAATTACAAGAAAGACCACCATCATCAACACCTGCAATAACTACAGAATTCATCGAATCGTATGATTATATAAGTTCAATGTCAATGAATCCTGCTGCTGGTGTTAATACAAATGATACGAGCACAATGGCAATAAATCCTCAAATGCTAAGGATCAATTCATCTTCATCTTCACCAGGTGTTGAAAATATAAAACAAGAGCCAATTTCTTGTGCTCCTCTATCAACTAAAACTTCAATGTCGAGTATGCATGGTGATGACAGTCAATCATCTGCTTCTTCATCATCTTTAGCATCATCGAATGATCCAAATATAATTGTTAATGGAATGTTAGCAAATCATCATCATCATCACCACCACCATCACCAAAATTTAGCATATCAATATCAAGAAAACGTACATGACCAACAAGTAATGATCATCAAAGCTGAAGGTAACTATCTATCTATCTTCACACACGTGTGTGCGTGTATTTATTAAAAAAGAATATAATAAAAGAATTTTTAATAATATTTTATAATTAATATATGTACTTTTTAACAGATAATTTAAATTTCCTAAATTATTCACCAGTAACAAATCCTATTCCACATAATGATCATTATCAACAATCAACTCAACATGTACCAATGCAAATTGAACTTCAACAAGATGGATTGACATTTGGTGGTGATAATAATTGGTAATTGATAAATTGGGGAAAAAAGGGCTATCATATTATTTATTTAAGACTTTAAAAAGATAGAATTATTTATTTATTATTTATTGTTACCCATATTACTTATTGTTATTATTGTTATTAGGCATTTAGGCATTATATAAATATTATGTATTATTTATTATTTATTTTATTGATTTTTTTATACTTATTAAATATCCCTTCTTCACCCCTTCTTTTTTTTTAAAAAAATTTTGTAGTATAGTTTTTTTTTTGCATTTTCATTTCCATTATTATTTTTTTATCTCTTTTTATCTCTTATATTGGGAATTTTAACAAAAAAAAAAAAAAAAAATAGATCAAGCAATTAAAAATTTTATATAAATATTATAAATATTATATTTAAAAAACTTTACATATATATATATAAAAAATATAAATATATAAATATTAAAAAAAAAAAAAATTATATATTAACATATATTGTGTGAAATATTGAAATTGATTCTTTTAAACATGACTCTTTAAATCTCTCACTTTTGCCCTCTCATTCGACTCCTTCATAGGCAGATTGGCATTTAAAAAGCACTTTTCTGACTCATAAAAGGGCTCAAATAATTGATCATACCCAAAAAACGAACCTAATTCTTCTTGCGGTTCATCTCGAATAAATAATTGGTCAAGGAGAAAAAATTCGAAGATTTATGATTTACCCAACAAATTGTATTTCTAGGTTTTGTGTTAAGGTTGTATCAATAAAACCTGCTGTTTGGTTTGATCAAAATTATATAAAAAAATTAAAGTTAAATTTGATCTTTAAATAATCTTAATTGTTCGTAACAGGAATTAATCAGGGGCACAATGTCTGTTAAATTGTTATACTACATACAAATTTTTATGCAAAACAATAGCAAAAAACGTGAAAAAAAAGAAAGCTATATTGAACTGAACTCCCGACCATGTTCAAGTGCACTAAAGCGGAAGTTCAAAATGAAACTTTTTTAAAGTTCGGTTCAAAGTTCACGCATGATGAACACGTTCAGGTTCATTAGTTGACCGACGAACGACGTTGGTCCTAAACCACCGAAAAGCAAGTTATATTTCTGATCGTTTTTAACACTTGCTAGATAGTTTCCATCCTCTCACAACACAAGTACAGCTCAAGTCAAGCGTAAAAACAGCCAGTACCACTACTACGTGATCATTGGCGGAATGGTGTGGTTCGGGTTCGGCATAAGTTCAAATATTTAAATGCTCAGGTTCAAAAAAAGTGATACGAGCTTGTTCAAGTTCAGAGTTCAGTTGAACATAAGAACACTCTCTGCTTAATGATCCATCCACCCATCATCCATCCATGGTCTTGAGCCGAGCCATTAAAAATATGCCTTGTTCTGATTTTTGAGGAGCAAGCACAAGCACATATTTAATACTATTACTAAATTTATTGCTTTTATTATATGTCACCTATAAACCTACATGTAAATTTTATCACTGTTTTTTTCAGCAATAGATGTGATTTTTATTCTTATTGTCATTATAAAATGGATTGATTATTTGTTTGAGCGATTGTCCAAAATTGTCCATGTGGCAACTTATCATGCGGACATGCCCGCCCGCTCATTTTTCCGGATATTTCCGGAGCTTATTTGTCAACGAAATTGAAACTATGTGAAATCGAAATTTTATAATTAAAATTTTGGAGTGGGATGTTTGGATATGAAATTCTGATTGGTTAATTTGAATTTCACATGCGTGAATTGCAAATTCACATAGATTTCATTTTCACGCACAACAGGTCTATTAAAAAAATTATGAGTCGCGTGGTAAAGACTCATCTTTGATGATTATCAAATTTATACGTGTATTATTAATTAATAATCAAAATTAAAATTATTATATTTTAGGAAATTATGGATTTTTTACTATATTAACATTAATATAGAGATAGGGAAATTGCATGAAATTTCAAAATTATGCATGGTTTGAAAAAAAAAAATCATGCGCATTGCATTTTTGTTTTCACATTTCTAATTTAATTATATAAATAAATAAATTAATAAAAATGAAAAACAAAGAGAACGAGAATATTAAAAAATAGCTGTACAACAAACAACCAATTCGAAAAGTAGCTTCTACTAATAATGACAATGGAAAAGTATTTACCCAGTTCGGAGGACAGCTTCTTCTACTAATACCAGTTTAAAAAGACAGCATCGTCTACTAATAGTGATGAAAAATAACAACAAAGTATTTTATCCAGTTCAAAGGGCAATTCGCCTTCATTAAAACTTTCATCAAATTCATCCGAACCAGTTATTTCTTTGGAATAGATTAAAAAGACATTTTAATATTAATTGTGCACAAATTTAAATATCTATTATGTAGATCAGTACCAAAGATAGATTAGATATGGAAACAACTGAAAATTTCTGATCCTATTTAGTATCAGAAAACAAGTCAAGTTTTATATAATGTCATATAATAGATTATCAATTGAAAGAGAGAAATGTGTAGTTAAAATTAAGAATGAAATTTATAATAATGCAGTGGTTAATACTGATGAAGAAAGTAGAAAAGATTATTTTCTTTCATTAGTTGAAAAAAACAAGGAGCTTTCTGAAAATGAAAAAGGATTTTGTAAGGAATATTTTATTTATGGGTTGGAATTAAAAAATGCAAGAGATAAAAGGGGAAAACCAAAAGAATGTAATAAGTGTAAGTTGACAAGATACTCTGATAGATTCTGTGAAGGCTGCATTAGCTTACAATTACAGAGTCTTTTCATCACTTGGAAATCTGGAAATAAGTTAGTTGACAACTTTATTCAACAATGCCAAATGAAATCATCTCTGCCAACTTATATTTTAGAATGGATAACTTTTGAGCAATTTGAAAAAATAACAAAGTTGACAGAAGGTGGATTTAGTTCAATTTATATTGCCATGTGGACAAGAGGAAAAATTGTTGATTATGATGAATTATTGTAAAATTAAATCACAAACTATCATTCCTTGCTATGGTATAACCAAATTTCCAAATAATTGGAAATTATGCAATTGTTCTACCTTATGTTTCAGGTGGAAATTTAAGGGATTATTCATGAAAAAATCATTCAAATTTAACATTAAAAGACAGTTTTATTACTTGTCTAAATTCAAAGAAAATTTCTTTTAAAATTTTTCTTTCTTTTGTCAGGACTGATTAGATCGACAAGGGGATTGATTTCACAGCTTATTTCACCAAAATCCAATTATATTGATCATATAATATAGAGTTTATATAATATATATCTTGATTACCACATACTATACAAGGACCAAAATTTTTTCGGCTTACACCTTTATTCATTTTATTAATGATAAATGATAGTTAGAAATGTTATTTATTTACTATTACTTGAATTATCTATATATTAGTTTTATATTTATGTTACGCACGTCAAGTTAAAATGTAGACCATCACAAATTTGGATGTTATGACAAATTTAGAGCAACTTTGTTATTAATAAAAATAAAAATCCAATCCCGCCAGAACATTTGTACAAATTTTGAGGTGGTATTATATAGTCTGTGCAGCGCTATTTTTATAAGTGGTACTTTTTCGATTTTACAATACTCTTCACATTAATATTATAAATTGTTGTGTGTAACGCCGGTCTATCCATAAAAGGATTTTTATCTATGCTAATAAAGTGTATATAAAATTCACGATTATTTTTATTTTCATAACATTAAATATCATTTAACGGTCTTTAACCAGTCTCGAGACTACATTTAAAAACCAGTTCTCTGAAAAAGGTCCATTCTTTGGAACCGAAGCCAAAATGAACAGAATGGATCCAACCTACATATTATCTAAATGAGATCATGTAGGTAATATTAGTATTAGTGCAATATAAATAATACCTGTTTCGTATAAAATCAAAGACACTTAATAAATGAAATAAATTGTGTATTATATAATAAATTTAATATATGGTCCTCACTCTGTTTCTCTTTAACATAAATTTTTAAATAGGTAGTTATGTATTTCTTTGAAAAGATATAATTATTTTTTTTATTTTAATTTTAATTTTATAATAGTTCTTTAAATATAATGGATGCTCTGAGCATTCTTGAACTATGCTAACATTAGGATTCCTTGCTTTGGATCTCAATCTTGCAAAACTTTGTAAAATTGTGTCTCGATTGGATTTCGTTCATTGTATATTTGTTCCAGATGAATTCCTATCAGATATACAAAAAATTAAAATTCATATTATATATGATGTCGAACCTAAAGACACTTGCCGTAAATGATTGGGCTGGTAGCTACCATTGTCGTAAATAGATACGGCTATTGCAAATAGATGCAATTGCCGTAAATATTTTATAATAGTAGTTGCCATTGCCGCAAATAACCAATTACGGCAGGTGTCTTTAGTCGAACCAAGTTAGGTTTCTATGATACTTTATAATCCTGAAAACATTTTGTTTTATGGTTTTTCAGCCTATCATATTCTAAAGACACATTATATATATAAAGATCTGCAAAAATTTTAAATTTATAAAAAATAGATCGAATAAATCAAATAATTATAATTATGTGTGGTATTTTATTTCGCTTGTCTCACGATAATTATAATGCTAATGATAAAATATTTCAAAAAGATTTATGGGATTTATTAATTAATAAGAATAAACAACGTGGTAAAATATAAATAATAATCAATTAAAAAAAGGTGTTTAGTTTTGTGAAAATAAACTAAAATAAACTTCATTGTCTTTTATTGACATATTTTGTCATTAGGGCCAGATGGAATTTCAAAATTTTCCAAGTCGATTAAATTAATTGAAGAAAAATCAATTATTGATGATGATAGTAGAGGAAAAGTTAATGAATTATTATTGGATTTTTTTGGAGCAGTTTTACATTTACGTGGTAAAGAATTAACGGAACAACCTTTAATAAGTGAAAATCATGATATATTATTATGGAATGGTGAGATATTTGATGGTTTCGAGGTAAGGTAGAGACAATAAATAAATAAAAACATATAAATTATAAATACATGACCAAATATGTTTTTCTTGCACAATATTTAGATACCGAAAGATGAGAATGACACAATTCATCTTTTTAATTCATTAAAAGGAATTGAAAATGATGATGAATCATATAAAATTCTAAATGTTTTAGAAAAAATTGAAGGACCTTATTCAATAATTTATTGGCAGGTTAATTAATTAATAATCATAATGACAGTAATAATATTTCATTAATTCATTTATTTTAATTTTTGGTTGTTAGAATTCTACAAAAAAATTGTGGTTTGGAAGAGATTACTTGGGAAGAAGATCTTTACTATGGTATAAACCAAAACTATTATTAAATAAAAAAGATGATTTTATATTGACATCTGTTGGATGTAAATTACCAAAAAATAATCATGATGATGGTGATGAAAATCATTATTTTCAAGAAGTTCCTGCTGACGGAATTTATTGTTTAGATTTTAAAAAAATTATTGAAGCAAATTCTTCAGGTAAATTATTATTATCTATTATCATTATCTATCATTTAAAAGATTATTTATTGATTCTTTCTTTCAATATAAAGAATTATTTGAGAATTATTTAATTCATTATAAATGGTATGATAAAGATGATAATAATAATAATGTTCTGGCAAGGATCCAAATAATCTTTTTTTAATTTTTAATATATTGATTTTTATTAGAAGAAATAATAATTACAATAATAATTATTTTAATACAATAGAAATTGCCATTTGGTAGAGTAAATGACAAATTACCAAATCCAGATGAATTACCAAGAATAGACAATTTACCAGGATTATCAATTCCTGATATTTCAATAGAAATGGAAAATGTTATAAATAAATTTATTGATGAATTAAGTTATTCAGTATGTAAAAGGGTTGAAAATATTCAAGGTTTAGGGTAAGAAAATTATTATATATATGTTTATGTAAATAGTATACATACTTATATTTATATATTATTATATTTTAGAGTATCTACAAAAGAATCCAAAATTTCAATATTATTCTCGGGTGGATTAGATTGTGTTTGTTTGGCAGCATTAACTCACAAGTATTTACCAGGGAATGAATCAATTGATTTATTAAATGTTGGATTTGAAAATCTTAGAATTAATCAACAAAAAAATACTAAAAAGAAAAAAAATAGAAAACAACAAGATGTTAATGATGATAATAATAACACAGATAATACAAGTAGTAATACTAGCAATAATAATAAGTCTATTTATGATGTACCTGATAGATTAACTGGTAGACAAAGTGTTGAAGAATTAAGGTGTTAAATCAAATTTAATTAAACGTTTAATATTGAAAAGGTTGTTAATGTCTAATCAATTATTATTATTAGAAAAATTGCGCCTAATCGTAAATGGAATTTTGTAGAAATTAACATTCCATATGAAGAATCATGTAAATACAAATCAGAAATTTTGGAATTGATTTCTCCATCTGATACAATTATGGATTTGAGTATTGCAATGGCATTTTGGTTTGCCGTTAGAGGCAAAGGTTTGCTTATTTTTTTTATTTTTTTTACTTTTTTGAATTTTTAATGATTTAATTATAATAAAATTAAATAGACTTTTTTCAATAGGTCAAATTATAAACCCTGATAATCCAAAGGTAACAATAATCATTAATAATTATTGGATAATTAACAAATTACTATTAGATATGATAATATTAATAATGTGATTAATATGATTAATATGAAAAGATGACGATGATCGATTACGAGAGTAAAGCAAAAGTTATATTGGTTGGTATAGGTGCTGATGAATTATTAGGTGGTTATTCAAGACATCGTGAAGCATTTAAGAAATGTGGCTGGGAAAATTTAATTAAAGAGGTTTAAACAATTATGCATTATAATATATGTGTGTGTGATTTATTGTTAATATTGTTACTGTTGTTAGATTCAATTAGATGTTGATAGAATATCAACAAGAAATTTAGGTATTTTAAACTTAATCTTTCTACTATTATAATTATAATATTCCACAAGGTTTAAAAATAATAATTTATATTATAAAAAAGGACGCGATGATAGAATAATTTCTTCGCATGCAAAGGAATCAAGATATCCATATTTGTCAGCTAATGTAGTTTCTTATCTGAACTCAATTCCAATTCATCTAAAGCTTGATCTAAGATTTGAAAGAGGAATTGGCGAGAAATTGCTATTAAGACATGTAGCAAGAAGATTGGGGTTGATTGAATCCAGTAAATTGTTGAAAAGAGCAATACAATTTGGTTCAAAAACTGCTAGAATGACAAATGAAACTAATAAAGAAAAAGGTAATATGAAAGTCACTTGATCAATTAATCAATCAATCAATCATTATCATTGATGAAGAATGTCGTTGTCTGAGAAGAACGACAATGAAAAATAAATAACATAATGCGAAACTATCATTCAAAATAGTAATAACAAATATATGTTACAAAAAAAATCAAAAATGTGCCTTTTGTAATATAATTTGGTTTTCTAGTGTTAATTCCTTGAATTCTTAACGAATCACGTCAGAGTTATTTCCGTATCCTTTAAAGAATCTTAAAGCACAGTCGCAATCCTGTATAGTTTTGTGACGATATATATTTGTTTGGGTCGTTTTCTTTGTGAATCACATATACCAATAAATGTGTATACAATATATAAACAAGGATACAAATAAAAATCGAAGATATATCATTATATTTATCACGAATATTCAGTAATTGATAAACAAATTAACTGTTATTTGCACCAACTGAAAGAAATCTCTCTTTGATTAATACCAATTGTAGGCTGTTATTTTAAAAATAATAATCACAAAAGATTAGGGAAACAAAATCAACAAGAAAGAGATGTGTGCGGACCCTGGATATGATGATTAGAACTTCGAACATGTGTTAATAGCCAAATTGGTACAGATCTTTACTACGTTAGAATCATTTTGGCTGTCCGTGTTTCCCTGTATATCATTTATAAAAGCATTGTCGAAGTTGAGAAATTAATATAAATGAATCTTGCAAAATAAATTCTCTTTCCTTGACTCATGAAAAACATAATATCACGTATAATTCATTAAAGAATGATCAAATTGTTTAGCACTAATATAATTTTTACGAAATTATTTATATAAAATCTTGAAATATGGATCCAAAATTAACAAGTTTCAAATATTATTTCGAATATCCATATTTTCAAACATTTATTTATTAAACATATTTAAAAGTTGATAAATTAATATTTGAATGAATACAATAAAACTAGAATTCCTACTATTTTGACTTATAAATATTTATCAGTTATTGAATAAAAGATACTCGATGTATGCGATTTTTAGAAAAACTCTTCATATCTTTGTTGCCACTTTTTATCATCCATAGGGCACCATCTACTTTTACCATCCTGATACATGCGATCCATCACATCTGAATAGCATATTAAAAGCTTCTTATCCCACTTATTTTTGATTTTACTCCAGTGTTCATTTGCGTAATCGTTGAGGTTCGTTCTTGAGTCAAATACTTTGTCTTTAAATTGGAACGAACAATTTTCATTATATTTAATTCTATCCATAAATTCCTTGAATTCCCCTTCCGGCTTAAATTCTAAGCCAATAGATTCTAAGACCTCGTCCACAAAATGTTGACAATTGGTATTATAAGAATTATAATTATGAGTTTTATTATAATAAGCACATTTTTCGGCGATCCTTTTTAGTCTATTACTATCTTTCTTTATTATATTATGTGAAACAACTAAAATTATTCCCAATGCTGCCGTAGCTCCCAATACAGTGAAAAAGATGCCAATGCCACCAGTCAAAACGCCGACAACAACACCGAGGATAATAGAAATTGCGATTGCTGAAATACATAATCGAAGATTAAACACAGAATTTGTTTGTTGGTAATTTACTCGCACACAGGCCAACATTCCTCTGGTGTCTGGGATTGGGCACACAATGCTTGGACCCGCGAGACCATAGCCCCACTCTATGATGATACCATCTATTTCCAGGCCTACATGAAATATCCCATAATTAGTGAATCGTGTAATTACATTCCTGAAAATGGTGGAATTATAAAACTTTCCATCAATTTTTTCAATGAACAAATAAACATTGTAATTTTTGCTTTTTCTTTTGTTTTTCCATGTCATTAGCTCTAAATCTTCAGGCATATATTGGCTATTAAATCTTTGAAAGCCTCTAAATGAACGTATACCAGATTCTATATTTCTCAATAGACTTTCATGTTCTTCGTTTTTTATCATAAGAAATTTTTCAAAGAAGAGATCTGGGTCTCCAAGTTGGTGGACAAGAGTATGAAGCTGCTCTGGATTTTGGATATCCAGTTTTTTGAGTAAATCTTTGTATATGTCGTTTTTCGACTCTTCGAGATCTTTGAGTTTTTTTTAATGAGATTATATTCACAGCACCAGTGATCCGAACATAAGGGAGTTGTTTCATTGATTGGAGGTTCTGAAGAATTTGAAGAATTTGAAGGTTTTGAAGAATTTGATCCCATTATTGTAAAATGAGAAAACTGAATTGACAATGATAATAATTATAATACTATCCAATAGCTATACTGATTGAATAATACAGTGCGGATCATCTATACTCAAAAGTTAAAATTTTTGAAATATTATGTGATCCACACATTGGATTTTAAAAAA